TCTCTCTCTCTCTCTCTCTCTCTCTCTCTGTGCCTCTCATGAATAAATAAAATCTTAAAAAAAAAAAAAAGAAAGGACTCAAAAAAATAAAATTACAAATGAGAAGGAGAAATAATAACCAGACCACAGAAATATAAACAATTATAAGAAAAAATTATGGAAAAGTATATGCCAACAAACTGGACAATCTAGAAGACGTAGATAAATACCTGAAAACATAAATACTACCAAACCAAAGCAGGAAGAAAAAGAAAAGTTGAACAGACCAATTAGCAGAGAAGAAACTGAATTAGTAATCAAAAAGATCCCAAGAAAAGTCCCAAACAGATGGCTTCACAGGCAAATTCCACCAACCATTTAAAAGATACCTCTTCTCAAACTATTCTAAAAAATAGAAAAGGAAGGAAAACTTTCAAACTCATTTTATAAGGCCAGCATTACCATGACACCCAAAGCAGAAAAAGACTCAACTGAAAACAAAGAAAAATACCGGCTAATATCCCTGATGAACGCAGATGTAAAAATTCTCAACAAAATACTAGCAAACCAAATCAAACAATACATTTTAAAAGTCATCCACCATGATCAAGTGGGATTTATTTATAGGTTGCAAGGGTGATTCAATATTCCCAAATATATCAACATGACACATCACATTAAAAAGAGAAAGAATAGGGATCCCTGGGTGGCGCAGTGGTTTGGCGCCTGCCTTTGGCCCAGGGCACGATCCTGGAGACCCGGGATCGAATCCCACGTCGGGCTCCCGGTGCATGGAGCCTGCTTCTCCCTCTGCCTGTGTCTCTGCCTCTCTCTCTCTCTGTGACTATCATAAGTAAATAAAAATTTAAAAAAAAAAAAAAAAAAAGAGAAAGAATAAGAACCATATGAGTATCTCAAAAGATGAAGAAAAAGCATTTGACAATGTACACCATTTATTCATGATAAAATCTCTCAACAAAGTAGGCTTAGAGGGAACATTCCTCAACAAAACAAAAGGTATAGGTGAAAAGCCAATAGCTAACATCATCTTTAATGGGGGAAAACTGAGACTTTTTCCCCTAAAGTCAGGAATAAGATAAGGATGTCCACTTTGATCGCTTTTATTCAACATAGTACTGGAAGTCCTAGCCACAGCAATTAGACAACAAAAAGAAATAAAAGGCATCCAAACTGTTAAGATATTTGTAGATGATAGGATACTATATATAGAAATCTTGAAAGACTCCACCAAAAAAAAAAAAAAAAAAAAACACACACACTAGGACTGATAAAAGAATTCAGTATAGTCACAGAACACAAAATCAATGTACAGAAATTGGTTCTATTTCTATGTACCAATAATGAAGCAGCAGAAACAGAAATTAAGAAAACAATTCCATTTACCACAAGTAATGAGATACCTAGGAATGGACCTAACCAAAGAGATGAAAGACCTGTACTCTGAAAACTATAAAATACTGATGAAAGAAACTGAAGATAACACAAAAAAGTGTAAAGACATCCCATGCTCATAGACTGGAAGAACAAATATTGTTAAAATATCTATACTACCTCTACACGTTTAATGCAATCCCTATCAAAATATCAACAGGATCTTTCACAGAACTAAAACAAATAATCCTTAAATTTGTATGGAACCACAAAGGATCCTGAATAGCCAAAGCAATCTTGAAAAAGAAAGCTGGAGGCTCACAATTCCACACTTCAAGTTATATTACAAAGCTGTAGTGATCAAAATAGTATGATACTGGCATAAAAATGGACATATACATCAATGGAACAGAATGGAAAGCTCAGAAATAAAACCACTATTATATGGTCAATTAATCTTTGACAAAGCCGAAAAGAATATCCATGGGAAAAAGACTGTCTCTTCAACAAATGGTGTTGGGAAAACTGGACAGCCACATGCAAAGGAATGAAACTGGACAACTTTCTTATAATAAACACAAAAATAAATTCAAAATGGATAAAGACCTACATGTGAGACCTGAAACCATCAAAATCCTAGCAGAGAACACAGGCAGTAAGTAATTCAAGATTGGCTGTAGCAATTTTTTTTTCTAGATAGGTCTCCCGAGGAAAGGGAAACAAAACTAAAAATAAACTATTGGAACTATATCAAAATGAAAAGCTTCTTTCTGCACAGAGAAGGAAACAAGCAACAAAATTAAAAGGCAACCTATGGAATGAGAACAGATATTTGCAGAACATATCCGATAAAGGATTAGTATCCAAAATATATAAAGAACTTATAAAACTCAACACCCAAAAAAATGAATAATCCAATTAAAAATGGGCAGAAGACATGAACAGACATTTCTCCAAAGACACACAGATGGCCAAGAGATGCATGAAAAGATGTTCACATCATCACTTATACCATCCAGGAGATGCAAATCAAAACTACAATATCACCTCACATCTGGCAGAATGGCTAAAACACAAGAAACAACAAGTTTTGGTAAGGAAGTAGAGAAAAAGGAACCATTTTGCATTACTAGGAGGTACGCAAACTGATGCAGCCACTCTGGAAAACAGTATGGAGATTCCCCAAAATGTTAAAAATAGAACTACCCTATGATCCAGCAATTGTACTACTAGATATTTACCCAAAGTACAAAAATTACAGATTCAAAGGGATACGTACAATCCAATGTTTACAGCAGCATTATAAACTATAGCCAAATTATGGAGAACCCAAATGTCCATCAACTGATGAATGGATAAAGAAGATGTGGTATGTACGTACGTACATACATATGTACGTACACACACACACATACACACAAAAAGTCCCAATGGAACATTACTCAGTCATCAAAAATAATGAAATCTTGCCATTTGCAATGACATGGTTGGAGCTAGAGTGTATTATGCTAAGTGAAATAAGTCAGTCAGAGAAAAGACATATACCATATGATTTTACCCCTATGTGGAATTTATGGGAAGGGGAAAAGAAAAAAGGGAGAGAGGGAAACAAGCCATAGGAGACTCTTAATGTTAGAAAACAGACTGAGGGTTGATGGAGGGATGTGGGTGGGGGACCGGCTACACAGGTGATAGGGATTAAGGAGGGCACCTGTGGGGCATCTGAGAGGCTCAATCAGTTGAGCTGCTGGCTCTTGGGCTCCTTGCCCAATGAGGACTCTCCTTTTCTCTCTCTCTGCTCATTCTCTCTCTCTCTCTCTCTCTCTCTCTCTCTCTCTCTCGCAAATAAATACAATCTTAAAAAAAAAAAAGGAGGGCATCTGTCATGATGAGCACTGGGTGTTGTATGTAAGTGACAAATCACTGAATTATACTGCAGAAACCAATACTGCACTGTATATTAACTACCTAAAATTTAAATTAAAAAAAAAAAGAAGGTTAAAAATAGATCTACCTTATGATCCAACAATCACACTACTGGGTATTTACCTAAAGAATACAAAAACACAAATTCAAAAGCATACATGCACCCCTGTGTTCATAGAAGCATTATTTACAATAGCCAAGGTATGGAAGCAGCCAAAATGTCCATCAACTAACTAACAAATAAAGAAGATGTGGTATATATACCCAATGGAATATTATCCAGCCATAAAAAGGAATGAAATCTTGCCATTTGCAAGGACATGGATGGAGCTAAAATGCATAATGTTAAGCTAAATAAGTAAAAGAATGACAAATATTGTATGATTTCACTCAGATGTGAAGTTAAAAACAAAAGAACAAAGAAAGAAAAAAGAGAGAGACAAATCAAGAAACAGACTCTTAACTCTAGAGAACAAACTGATAGTTACCCGAGGTGGAGGGATGGCTTAAATAAGTGATGGGGATGAAGGCAGGCACGGGGTCTAATGAGCACAGGTGATGTATGGATATGCTGAATCACTATTTTGTACACCTGAAACTAATATTACATTGCATGTTAACTAACTAGAATTCAAATAAAAACATAACAACAACAAAAACAACAAAAGAGTATCTCTTCCAGACAGTGTTGCTTGGCCTCCCCATCTGGTTACAGTTCCTCCTCTTCAGAAAAGCTAAGACATTCTATGCACACCTCTCTCATAACACTTGGTATATGTTTTCCCCTAGATTCCGGTTCTGCAGAAGCAGGATTTATAGGATTCTTTGTACCTTAGAACAACACCTTACACACTGCCTTACCCATAGTATCATGAAACTCTAAGATTTGAACTGAATGAATTAAATTCAATCTAAAATTTGGACACAGTAAAAGAAGTAGGGTTTCTAGAGTAATTACTTTAAGAGAAAATAATTAAGGATACATAATGATTTCGATGTTCCAGCTCTGAAACATATTGTTCTTCTTAAGCAAAGGAAGACAATACTCTACTCCTCTTGAACTTCTTCAAATTCCAAGTCAACTCTAAAGCACATTATAGACAGCAATGTTACAATATTCTTTGAAGCATACTTGCAAATTACTCTTTAGTATTTGGTTTTGCACTTAGGTATTTCTTTTTTTTAAGTCTCAATTATTTACAAGACAAAGTATTTTGACAGATTATTCAACCCCCTGGACTATCATCAGAAGTGCAGATTTAACACAGCAAGAGGTGATGCCTATCAGAACATTTAGTCACTATATTATCTTCTGCTTTAACTTACATGTGGCATAGAATATAATTTCCCAAAATAAAATATGAAGGTATTAATTCTCAGCTTCACTGACATGCTTCAGTGCATTCCTCTAAAAATTTATTTTCTAAAATGTTCTGAATTGAGATAGCAAAACAAACTGAGAGAAAAAAAGGGTTTCCAAGTTTCCTTTATTACCAAGAAAAGAATGCAGCCTCGCAGACAGAAGAACCAGAATTTCCAAGGACTCGAAGCTGGGGAAGCCAAGGCTCTGGCTTCCCTCATCTAGAGGACTGGGTGTAAGGCCTGACAAGCAGCACACGGCACTACTGCAAGAACATTAAGTGAGACTCAGAGAAATTGTCCTGTGCCTTGTGACCGAGGATGTATAGCAGTATCTGACCTACCTGGTTTATCCCTGTGGGAGAGATCTTGTATGACTGCAACTTCTGCTTCAGCAGCTCTGGGTCACTGTGACGGAATGGGCACCCTGACAACAAAAAAAAAAGCCAGCACACCAACAAAGTTATTTTCCAGGACTTAGTACAATACCACACTCGAGAGACTGTCTAAGCTCCCCTTAATTGTCTTAACAGCTTATTAATAAAAAAGTTAATTGCCCATGGGTGCAACTGCTTTCCTGTCTTTATCTAAACAACGACTTAACTGTACGGTTATCAGGGTACTACAGGCTCAAGAGTTACATAAGACATTACAGCACTCTCCGGCAAAGTTGCCCATTCACCAGGAAGAGGAAACAGTTTTAATTATGCTACATGCATTATTAAAGCAGAGATAATCACAAACTAGCTATAGTTCATCTAAAAACTTTATACAATCTCACATTTCATTCATATTTTTTATAAACTACATTAAAAGTCTATGAGAAGGAAGAAAATGTAAGCAAAAAGAAAAATGTACAAACTCTAAGAAATATGAAAATCTCACATCATTTTCAGATGTAAATTTTATGTCTATTTCCCATAGAGTAAAATCTATCTAAATTTAGAGGAATCACAGATAGGAATTAGATGGACAAACAGAAAAGTGTTTCATTAAAAAAATTACTTATAATAGATACATGTTATCTCTGTATTATTTCATGAGTAACATAATAATAAAGGTGGACTACTAAAATATTTACATAAATAAGAACACAGAAAAATTGAAATGTAAAAGCTATATTATAAGGCCAAAATCTGGAAAATTTTAGATATTTTAATAAGATGCTGCAATGGTAAGTCAAAGTACTTATTTTAAAATTTAATATAGGAAGCCAGACTACTTTTTTTAGGTACACAGTTGATGGATCTATAAGTTAACTTGAAACAATAGTACATTTTTAATAAAACCAATGGAAAATTGGTTGCAGCAAAAACAGAAAAGAGCCTAGATGCCAAACAAATGTGCTTACTAAAAATCTTAACTATAAATAAAAACGTCCACGATAACACTATGGACTCCTACAAATAATGAAATTCACAAAATTCATAGCTTCTACTTCATTCAGACTAAAACTGTAATACTTTTTAGTATAAATAAACATATTGAGAAGCTGTGGAACATCCGGTTCAGAGTTTGGAGCTAAAAATGCCTGAGTTTTAATCTCAGTTTACTACTTTACTAGGTGGGAGACCACAGGCAAATTTTGTATATTGGTGCTGACTCAGCCTCACTTTTTATCAAGTGAGAGAAATAATCACTAACAGAACTCTTGTGAGAATGGAAAATAAAGCTTTTATATGCTCCTGGCACATAGTAAACACTCAACATGTATTAGCTATAGTTATGATTCTCAAAACAAAACAAAACAAAACAAAAACCCCAAAACCTGATAATGAATGAAATTGCAAAAAATCCCAGAAAGAAAGAAAGGAGGCTGCACAAGGAATTCTTGGTTAAGCCCAGAATTACTAAAGAATACAGAAAAGCAGATTATTGAATTATCCAAATTACATTTGAAACAATGACTATATCTGAATGAAAAAGGTAACAAAGAGCAAAGCAAAGAAGAAAATGAAGATTGCCAAGGTACTAATTACTACTTAGAGAAGCTGGTGTTATTTTAAGAGATGACAGAAAGAAAATAAAACTCAGTAACTCCTATTTATTTTGTTTCTATCTTTCACATCAGAGAAAGTGATCTTCAAAACTGGAAAGGGTTGAACTAGGTAACTGAAAATGAAGTGAATGCACACCCAGTTACATATCTGACAAGCTTTCCAACATACGTTTGTGGAAGAGATGGATACACATAGTCTGGAATATGGTTATACATAGATTCATAACTGGTTGAACAACATTCCAAGCAGTGCTGGTTAATGAAATAAGATCAACATAGGAGACTAAATAGGTTTGCAAATAACATAAGACTAAAAGGACAGAGACTTTTGGTTTCCAGTCTGGCACATGAGAGGCTTATACACCACCACTGTTGTCCTAAGAAGGAAAAAGCTAAACAAACTAAAAAATTAACAACTCTGCTTAGACTCATCAGAGATGTGAGAACACAGGGCACAACACTGATTCCCAAGAGAGGCAGATACAGAGAATCAAAACATACCAAAACAGAATCTCTGGAGAAACCAGTGATGGGGTAGGAAATCCTAACCTGTAACTGACAAATTCCTAAAGTCTGGACAAATATGAGAGTCAAAAATTCCAAGGAGACCTAGTCATAGGGAGGCCCTATACTTTTGTAAGCTTAACTTCCAGGAGCTCTATCATGTGCTCATGGTGAATAACAGAAATTCTATCATGCTTCTGGCATGGGGAGGGGGAAAAGTAACCATTTTAATACTCTAGAGCAACCTGCTCTTAATAAGGCCTGTCCTCAAACTATTTTGCCTGAGCCTAACTTCTGGGATTTTATCAGAGCCTAACCTACCTGTGGAGGAGAGACGGAATATCCAACTCCAGGCTCCTCTATCCATTTTGTCCCACCTACTGAGAGTCACTGTTGAAGTATATTCATAGACCAGGGCCACAGGCTCACTAATCAGGTCTACAGACACCACTCTCTCCGCTTCCCTATTTGCCACCATATTTATACTAACAGCCTATTTATTGGAATTCTTTTCACCCAATATGTCATGTCTACCTTTTAAGAAAAAATTACAAGGCTCATCAAAAGGCAAAAAATAAAGTTTGAAGAGACTGAACAAATAAATATCAGAACTAGAGTCAGATACAGCAGGGATACTGTTATTATCAGACCAAGAATTTAAAATAACTGATTAATGCTAAAGGGCTCTAATGGAAAAAGTAGACAATGGGTAAACACAGGTAATGTTAGCAGAGAGATGGAAATCCTAAGAATCAAAAAGAAATGCTAGAGATCCGAAATGGAAATGAAAAATGTTTTTGATGGGCTTTATTAGTAGACATAGCTGAAGGAAGAATCTCTAAGCCTGAGGAAATGTCAATAGAAACTTCCAAAACTGAAAAACTAAGAGAAAACCACTGAAGAAAATAAGAATATAATATCCAAGAACTGTGGGACACTGTGAAAGGTGGTAATGATAATGTCAGAAGAAGAGATAAAGAAATAGAAGCAATATTTGAGGCAATAGTGACAGAGAATTTTCCCCAAATAAAGTCAGGCACCAAACTACAGATTCAGGAAGTCCAAAGAACACCAAGCAGTATAAATGATCCCCAAAATATTGCTTAGATATATCATATTCACACTTTAGAATACCTAAAATAAAGAAAAAAATCTTAAAAGAAGTCAGAGGGAATGCTTCAACGTGGATGGAACTGGAGGGTATTATGCTGAGTGAAATAAGTCAATCAGAGAAGGACAAACATTATATGTTCTCATTCATTTGGGGAATATAAATAATAGTGAAAGGGAAGGGAGAAGAAATGGGTAGGAAATATCAGAAAGGGAGACAGAACATAAAGACTCCTAACTCTGAGAAACGAACTAGGGGTGGTAGAAGGGGGGAGGAGGGCGGGGGGGTGGGGGTGAATGGGTGACGGGCACTGAGGGGGGCATTTGACGGGATGAGCACTGGGTGTTATTCTGTATGTTGGCAAATTGAACCCCAATAAAAAATACATTTATTATTAAAAAAAAAAGAAGTCAGAGGGAAAAAACCCACTTTACCTAGAAAGAAACAAAGATAACAATAATATCTGTAATTTATCCTCAGAAACCATTCAAGCAAGAGAATGGAGTGAATTATTTGTTTCTTTATTTATTGTCTTAGGAGTGAAATATTTGAAGTGTTGAGAGAAGAAACAACTCCACAAATCTAGAATTCTGTACCTTGTGAAATTATTCTTCAAAAGACAAGGAGTAATAAAGACTTTCTCAGATGAACAGAAAATGACAGCAAAAATGAACTATTGGGACTTCATCAAGATAAAAAGCTTCTGCACAGCAAAAAACAAAAAACAGTCAATAAAACTAAAAGGCAATCTACAGAACGAGACACAATATTTACAAATGACCTATCAGATAAAGGGCTAGTATCAAAGATCTATAATGCACCTATCAAATTCAACACCCAAAAAAGCAAATAATCTAGTCAAGAAACAGGCAGAACATATGAACAGACATTTCTCCAAATAAGACATACAAATGGTCAATAGATATATGAAAAAATGCTCAACATCACTTGTCATCAGGGAAATACAAATCAAAACCCCAATGAGATACCACTTTACACTGGTTAGAATTGCTAAAATTAAGAAGACAGGAAACAACAGATGTTGCTGAGGATGTGAACCCTCTTACACTATTGGTGGGAATGCAAGCTGATGCAGCCACTCTGGAAAACAGAATGGAGGTTCTTCAAAAAGTTAAAAATAGAGCTATCCTATAACCCAGCAATTGCACTAGGTATTTACCCAAAAGATACATATGTAGTGAAATGAAGGGACACCTGATCCCAATGTTCATAGCAGCAACATCCACAATAGTCAAACTGTGAAGAAGCCAAGATGTCCTTTGACAGATGGGTAAAGAGGATAAAGAAAATGTATGTGCACACACACACACACACACACACACACACACAAATATGGAGTATTACTCAGCCATCAGAAAGGATGAATATCTACCATTTACATAGACATGGATGGAACTGGAGGATACTACGCTGTGAAATAAATCAACTGGAGAAAGACAATTATCATATGGTTTCACTCATAAGTGGATATAAGAAATAGCGCAGAAGACCATAAGGGAAGGGAGGGAAAACTGAATGGGAAAAAAATCAGGGAGGGAGACAAACCATAAGAGACACTTAACTCTGGGAAACAAAATGAGGGGAAGGGAGGCAGGTGGGGGGATGGAGTAACTGGGTGATAGACATTAAGTAGGGCACACGATGTGATGAGCACTGAGTGTTGTATGCAACTGATAAATTATTGAACACTACATCTGAAATAATGTACTATATGTTGGCTAATTGAATTTAAAATTAAAAAAAAACTAACATTATTTATTGCCAGTAGACCTGCTAGGCAAGAAATGTTAAAAGAAGTTCTTCAACGAGAAGGAAAGTGACATGGGCCAGAAACTCAGATCTATCTAAAGAAAACAACATCAGTGCATAAGTAAGGTAATATAAAAACTTCAGAGCAGGAAATTTATCAAGGATATTACATAATGATAAAGGGATGCATACTCCAGGAAGATTTAACAGTCCTTTATGTGTATCCATCAAAACACAAGAAGCAAAAACTGGTAGAACTACAAGGAGAAGTTGATATATCCACTATTAGAGACTTCAACATCTCTCCATCAGAAATGGACAGACCCAGCAGGTAGTAAATCAGCAACAATAATCATAGAATTCAAAAGCACCATCAATTAATTTAATATAATAGATATCTATAAAATGGCCATATCTGATAACAGCAGATGACATATTCTTCTCAGTTCACATGTATCAAACTACTTCTGGTGCAGTATGATGTGGATAGTGGGTCAGGCTGTGCAAATATAGAGGCAGAGAGTTTGTGAGAATACTCTGTACTTCCTCCTCAACTATGCTATGAACCTAAAAGTACTCTAAAAACATGAAGTTTATTCATTAAAAAAAAAGGACAGATCAATGTTTCTAATAAATAATAGGAGTTTACTGAATAATTGTGAAGTAAGTTATTTTTTAACTGATATAGTTTAAATTAAAAAAATAAAACAAACAGAATGGACTGGAATAAATAAGATTCAATGTCATAAAAATAAGCAACATAAAATCCTGTATTTTAGCTAATAAAAATTAACTACATAAGGGAGTTCTAGAATCTGGACATTGATAGAGGAATCCTGGGGGTTTTACTAGGCCAAACTAAATGTAAGTTAACTGCTTGGTGTGGCTACTAAGAAAAGTATTAGATTTTCTCAATAGAAGTATCTGGTCAATGATTTTTCGAAGTTTAGAAGACAAAAATTATCCAGGACACTTGCAAATAAATCTCATTTCATAAGTCTGAAAATGAGCTTGACAATCTGCATTTCTGAAAGTACCCTAAGTAACTGACAACACTCACTATGTGTACCAGTATGGCCACATTTCATCTGTTAGATATGAAAGAAAAGGCATTTTTTAGTGCTTGGACGCATGAAACGTCTTCCTTAAAATTCTGTTTGTGATTATTTGATAGTGATCTCTAACAGCCTAAAAGTGTATAATCTTTTAAAAAAGAATTCCATTCAATATGCTAAAACAATTATTAGCATCCTTATATATGTTTTTAAAAAAAAGACAAAAGAAAAAAAGGTTTCAACACGTACTGCAGTTAAGTTTTAGTAATCTAAAATATTTACTAATACGGACTATTAAAATCATTCTCTGACATACCAGACAAATGAAGAGCTTTTAAAGGTATGCTCAGAGAACTATTTCAGAAAAAAAGCTGAACTCAGAAACCCACAAAAACCAGTTTAGACTTTCTTTTTAACCTACAGAAACTGAGGCGAATTAATAGAGGTTTGATACCACAACTTGCTAAATTCCTCACTTAATCTTTGTTTATCAGATAATAGCAATGTGAATAAAACACACCTTACCTCGGCAGTCTTTTGAAAATTAATGAATTAACTATTCTAAAACTCAAGGTACTCAATTTCAAAAACTTTTGAAGAACCTGTATCAGTCTTCTAATCATGAGAGAAACAGAAAGCAGCAGATGAATGGGGAAACAGAACTGAAAAGCCTGGTCCAGAACCATCTGCGCCAACTGAATAAATTCCCTTGCTGACCTAGTTCAGTATGAGACAGATCACTAGAAGAGTAACAGACCGCTGGCTTGACACTGATGACTGACATAAGCTACAGGTGATGCAATGATGCAAAAAGCCATCCTACTATGCCTCTGTTTCCTATAGAGCCCATGGGTTTCTATACTTCACAAACATATATCCAGCAGAAGCACTTACCATGGTAATCTCCTTGGCCTGGTGGATTGGTTAGAATAATCTTCAAGCAACTGAAAGGCGTGTAGTCTGTCCTCTTGCCTTCCTTTCCGAAACTATGACGGATATTGTAAGAGTAGCCTTTATCAAACTGATTGGAGGAAAAAGAAGAGACAAAGTAAGCCAATATGGTACTAGTGGTGTCAGGAAGTGCTAGCTAGGATTAGTGTATAAAATGGTATTTTCTAGAATAAATTCAGCATTCATGGGCAGTTGAACATATCATCTACATCACCTGAGTCCATGGGTGATAAGAGTTGTCTGGAGTAGCTTTCTTTCTGTTACAGAAACATCTTTACAAATGAAAATTTCCCTTAAAAGGGGAAATTTATGCTTAATCTTTAGGTAGTTAGGAGGAGCTCAAGTGCTCTTCTTGCATCTGCTGGTTCTCAATTAATTGCCTTTAGCTCAAAATAATCCTTATGTCAAAGCAGCATAGGGGTGGTATTCTCTGGTATCCTTCAACACCATTTGTTGAAGATATTTTCCTTTCCTTACTAAATTGCTTTGAACAGAAACAGACTCATAAATACAGAGAAAAAACTAGTGGATGCCAGAGGAAAGGGGAGGTGAGGGCATAGGTGAAATAGGTAAGGAGATTAAGAGGTACAAACTTCCAGTTATAACGTAAATAAGTCACAGGGATAAAAAGTGCAGCATAGGAAATATAGTAAATAATGTTGTAATAACATTGTATGGTGACAGACTACATTTATCATAGTGAGCATTCTGTAATGTATAGAATTGTTGAAGCACTATGTTGTACACCTGAAACTAATATAATAATGTATGTCAACTATACTTCAATTAAAAATAAAAATAATTAAATTGCTTTGGTACCTTTGTCAAATTTGACCATAAATATGTGGGTCTATTTTTGGATACTGTATTATTCCATTGATCTATGTGTTTATCTTTTTGCCAATGCCACATTGTCTTAATCATGAAATCTTTAGAGTAAGTCTCAAATTCAGATAATGTAAGCCCCTTGCTTTCTTTTTTTTCAATATCATTTTGGCTATTCTATGTCCTTCTGCTTACATACAAATTTTACCATAAGTTTATCAATTTCTATTTTAAAAAAGACCTGGGGTAGTTTTCAACAATCAGTAGCTTATGGACTCAGAAATATCTCTCTGCTTACAAGTAAACTACAACCAGGAAAACAAATGGCATTTCAACTAAAAGAAAACTTTCAAAATAAGTAAATTTCACTGCTAAAAATCAAGAATGTTAAAAGTTCCAGTTAAACACCTTTTGCGAATACTTTCTGTTTGTTTCATTAGTCTTAAACATTATTCATAATCAATCTCTGAAAATAGCTAGGTATGAAGTGAATTTAATTAGATACTAAATTCCTGATGTTCATCAGAAAACTTTGGGTCAGCTATTCTGTAGAAGTAACAGAAAGCTACTTTCTCTATAGGAAGAAAAGCTAGAATTAGTAATATTTCACTTCCTTCTGCCTTCCAATTCATTTACTGCCTGCATATATATATATATATGTGTGTGTATATATATACATATGTATATATATACATATATATACACATATATATGTTTAATATTTGGACTTTACTATAATGAAGCTTTCAGACTATTCATGTATTTATTACATAAACCATCTTATCTAGTTTTCAGACTAGCAAACTCTTGAAATACTGTACAGAAGGTACACCGATTGGGAGATGTTTTTGTTACCAAATGGTCTATCACAGCCACTAACTCAGGAAATAAATGGATAAACCCTTGGGTACTGCTGCAGCCAACTGCTCCATTCCTGGGGAATCTCCAGGGGGCTGGACAAACCAAAAGCAGAGCTGCTTGCCTTAGTATGCCAACACTGTTGCAGAACAAACTCCAGATAAACGTGTTGCAAAAGAAGCCAATAACTCAAGAGATGACAGTTTGGAAAAGAAAAAAGAAAAGATTTATTTTGGGTGCTGCAGCTGGGGGAGGTGGCAGGCTCAAGCCTTAACTGACTTCTCCACTTGGTAAGATGGATACCTAAAGTTTTCTAAAGAGAGGTTCATCAGGGGTATAAATAAGAGAGCAGGCAGAGAGAGTACATGATCACAGGTGGGGGCCGGTATGTGTTCAGCACAGGATTATGGGCAGGGAAGGGGACAAGTGGGGTGTGGTCTTCTAGGCATTCTGTTGATAGGAGGGCTTTTTTGGTCTGGTACTTAGAATGTTCCACTCACTGTCAATGCCTCAAGAAAATGCAGTAAGAAATGACTATTGGGGTCTACAGTTGAGCAAGAAGGCTCACTGACATTTTCTTAGAGAATACTTTCTAGACATCCACATCTACAACTCAAAAGAATAGCTCTATGTATTCAAACTGAACTACAGAGAGGTTGGGGAAAACCAAGAAAAGAATACACTTTCTTGGGCTCTATCCCACTCTGTCCAGTGATGGGAAATGCCAGAAAATCAACACTGGTCTTATGATGATGAGCGGCAGTTTTCAAACTTCCAAATTAGTCCTGACATTCCAGCCATCGCACTGACAACACACCAGTCTGCATTTCTGCCAAAGACAGCAGTAAATTATTGGGGCACTATATTACCAATGGAACTCAAGAAAAATTATATAAAGTAGGCACATCTTTATCCTTATCCTACCTTGTCTCTTTCAGAGTCTCTCACAACTTTGTCTTCTATACCAGTCCTAACCAGAGTCTAGCGACCTTATCTTATTATACTTTTAAACGTATTTATAGCCAAATCTATTCAGACACCATGAGAATATATATTCAGAGACCATGATGTAAACATTTGATTGCCTAGAAGAACAATGTATGGTCTTCCTTGGAAGAAAGTCTTTCTTGACGAAATATTTTTCCTATCAGCAAAGCAACAAAAGCTGCCATTCATTATGGTCAAGCTCAGCTTGAACAATAAAGTGAGAATGGTTAAAAAGCAAGTACTCTTCATATATATATTTATATGTGATATTAGCTTTTGTTTGGTTTTAAAATTTTATTTATTTGAGAGAGAAAACACAAGTGGGGAAGAAGGACAGAGGGTGAGGGAGAAGCAGACTTCCTACTGAGCAAGGAGCCCAACGTAGGGCTCAATCCTAGGACTCTGAGATCATGACCTGAACTGAAGGCAGATCCTTAATGGACTGAGCCACCCAGGCACCCCAATGTATTTATATTTGAAAAGGAAAATCTTCTTGACCTAAATGAGGCAAAGGAGCCATATATGTGAGGGTAGAGGATAGTGTAAGGATATGGTATTTCTTAATGGGACATTTTCAATCCTTCTTTAGTGACGCTTGTTTCTAACCCACAAGAATCTGGAACTCGAATTTATATATTTAAAAGACTCTGGGGGGGGGGGCTGCCAGGGGATGTCTGCTAAACTACAAAGGAACTCATCCAATGCTTAACATTAGCCTGACATCTGGATCCTATAAAAATAACTTTGGAAACTCCCTTTATTTCTACTTCCCCAAGATATATGTTAGCAATCATCTTCTAAGCATATGGCCCACTGATACAAATCTGAAGGGTCTCATGACTAAGGTTTTACTAGACAGTAGTAAATGATCTTTTCTCAACAACAGTTAGGCCCCTCAAGGTCCTGGAAACCTTGCTTCCCAAATTCCTTAGAGACTTACACTATCCCTAACCCCCTCCTAACTTGAAAGTATATAGTTAGCCATGACCCCAGTGCAGCTCCTTCTGCCCACAGGTCCTGTCCCCATTCTTTGATAAAACCAATGTTTTTGTACCTAAGATGTCAAGAATTCTTTCTTGATTGTTCACTCCTGAACCCCAACATTTCACATCAGTTAAGTCAGGGCTTTAAGTTCAATACCTGAGTTTATTTTTTTAAAGATTTTTTATTTATTCATTCATGAGAGACACAGAGAGAGAGGCAGAGGGAGAAGAAGGCTCCCTGCGGGGAGCCCAATGCAGGACTTAATCCCAGGACCCTGGGATCACAACCTGAGCTGAAGGCAAATGCTCAACCACTGAGCCACTCAGGTGTCCCAATAGCTGAGTTAAAATCCTATCTTACCACATGCTAGCTGTGTGACCTTGGGCAGGTTACTTAACCAGTCTGTAAAGTTCCCTTACACCTAAAAATGAAGGATTAAGGGTTGGTGTGGAGATTAATTAGCTCATTTTCATAAAGTACTTGGTATAGTATCTAGTAAAGAGTAAGCATTCAATACTTTAGAGTTATCATTACCAAGGTAGTCAGTTTTGTTATTAACTAGAAAAAGCTATCTTTGGGGCACCTGAGTTGCTCAGTCAGTTGAATGTCCAACTCTTGATTTTCAGGCCATGATCTCAGGGTGGTAAGATGGAGCCCCATGTCAGGCTCTGCACTCAGAAGGGAGTCTGCTTGAGATTCTCTCCCTCTCCTTCTGCCCCTCCCCTGGTCTTGCGCATAGGACTGGGCTGGCATGCACACTCTCCCCCTGCCCAACTTTAAAATAATAAGTAAGTAAGTAAGTAAGTAAATAAATAAATAAATAAATAAATAAATAAATAAGGAAAGAAGAAGAAGAAGAAGAAGAAGAAGAAGAAGAAGAAGAAGAAGAAGAAGAAGAAGAAGAAGAAGAAAATAATTATCTTAAGTGGGTCAAATCCATTGTGTTATTTAATACTACTTAAATTACTCACATGCTTGCCTCTAGCTTCCTCATCAGAAAAACTTGGAATCTAGTTACTCCCTCTAACTCTTTATAGGACCTTAAAAAAATCAGTTAAACAATTTCAACCCTGTACCACAGCTGGAAGGCACTGCTGCTATTACTATAATTCAGTATATTACCTCCTATGGTGTACTAAATATTTCTTCTTCTGCCCTATAAGAGTTCATTCATTTCTCATTGGTGAGAACTTTTCACAAGCTTAAGAGGCAGCAAGGTGTTAGAGAGATAACCCAGGTATTGTTCTAACTCTGCCACCTACTAGCTGAATAATGTTAGGCAATTATAAATTACCTCAGTCTGTTTTTTTTTTCATTTTTAATATTGTTACAATGAGACCTGTACTTCACTCTATACAAAAGCAATCTGTAAACTATAAAATGCTAAGTTTATTAGCTACAATTATTTGTATTAAA